TGTTTATATTAATAACAATTATATTAACAATGATAATAACGATGATACTAACAATAACGAAAATAATGATACAAATAATAATAGCAATGATAAATGAGCAAACCAATACTAAGAATGATTATAAAAATCATTACGATATTGATGATACTGATAATGATATATATATATATATATATATATATATATATATATATATATATATATATATATATATATATATATATATATATATATATATATATATATATATATAATACAGGTAAGTCAAACAAACACAAACAAGCTTCCAAGAGACACTGAAGGTCCCGGGCTATTTAAGATGGTGTTGTGATATTCACCCAAAATGGCCTCCAGACCGGAACCAGAATCTCAACTACAAGCTTTAAATTTCTTCCTGCCCTTTCGACCTTAAGCGACGTCTTGCGGGAGATAGAAGGATGGAGATAGAGAGATGGAAGAAGGGATAGGAGAATGGAATGGAGGAAGGTTGAGAACTTCTGGAATCTTTGCAGTGTCTCGGAAGGGTTAAGTTTTCTTGGAATTGAAGATCAGGAAAGATCGAGAAAGATGGTAAGGATAAATAGAAGGAAAGATTGAAGGAAGATTGAGATAGAGATAGAAGGGAAGATTGAGATAGAAGGTAAAGAATTTAGAGGGGAATTGAACAAAAAGGTAGAAAGAAGATAGTAGGGAGAAATAGAAGAAAAGATTGAAGGAAGATTGAGATAGAAGGTAAGAATTTAGAGGGGAAATGGAGCAAGAAAGGTCGAGAAAGAAGGTGTAAGGAGAAATAGAAGAAAAGATTGAAGGAAGATTGAGATAGAAGGTAAGAATTTAGAAGGGAACTGGAGCAAGAAATAGAAGAAAAGATTGAAGGAAAATCGAGGCAAAAGAATTTATTGGAAATAAAGCAGAAAAGATTGAGAAGCTTAAACAGACAAAGAAATAGAAACGATTGAAGAAAGATTGAGATAGAAGGTAAGATAAAGACACATCAACCTCAACTTCTACTCGTCCCAAAGACCCAAAATTTCTTGAACCCGAGGACCAGAAAGAAGAAAAGAGAAGAAGAGAAATAAAACAGAAGACTAAGATTGAGACGAAGACACATCAACTTAACTTTTATTCTGACGCCCTTGACGAGTTTTCGAAGGAATTAAATCTATTCTTCTCCTCCACCCCTTCCCCCCTTCGAAGTAAAATAGAAGAGAAGGAAACAGAAGAAAACAATCAAAAGAAATAAAACTGATGATTGAGACTGAGATGGAAGCACACAACAACCTCATAGCCCCTTTCTGACGCCTTCGAAGTGATCTCGAAGAAGCTTAAATCTCGCCTACCCCCCCCCTACCCCCTACCCCCCCTCACCAAAGGAAAAGAAGACACAAAAAAAAGAAAGAGATTAAAACGAATACGCATCAGCCTCAGCGCCTCCCTCTTTCCGACGCCCTGAGTATCCGAGATTTCTCTCCCCCCCCCACACCTCCCCTTAACCCCCCCCCCCTTCGCTCATCCCTTTCCCTTAGCTCCCTCCTACTTCCCTACCGTCCCCTCACCTCCCTCACCTCCCCTCTCCCCCCTCCCCCCTCCTCACTCCTGCTTTCCCTCACCTCCCTCCGCCCCCCTCCCTTCCCCTCACCCCTCCCTTCCCCTCACCTCCCCCCCTCCACCTCCCCTCCCTCACCCCTTCCCCTCACCTCCTCCCTTCCCCTCCCTCCCCACCCCCCCCCTCCCCACCCTCCCCTCCCCCTCCTTCCTTCCCTTCCCCCGACACTGAAGCAGAAAAGATAATTACAAAGGAAGGATTGTGGAGGAGAGTACGCCCGCTTCACAGTACATTAGGCGAGGCTTCCGGTGATCTCGCCGGGCTTAGCTGCGATAACGCTCGGGAGATGCGAGGATGGGGGAGGAGGAGGAGGATGGGAGAGGGGGGGGGATGGAATGGGAGGAGGGGAGGATGGGAAGGGGGAATGAGGGGGGGGAGGGGGAAAGGGGGAGGAGGTGGTGGAGGATGGGGGGAAGTGGGAATGGGAGGGGAGGAGAAGGGGAGGGAGGGGGAGGGGGGGGAAGGGAAGAAGGGGGAAGGGGGGGGAGGGAGAATGGGGGATGGAGGATGGGGGGGAGGGGGGAGGAGGGGAGGAGGGGGGGAGAAGGGGGAGGAGATGGAGAAGGGTGGGGAAGGGAGAGATGGAGGAATGGAGGGGAGGGGGGGGGAGATGGAGGATGGGAGAGGAGGGGAGGGAAGAGAGTGGAGGGAGATGGAGGGGGGAGGGAAACGGAGGAATGGGGGGAGGGGGAAGATGTGGGAGGAGGGGAGAGGAAATGGGAAGAAGCGGGGAAGGAGGGGAAGGGGAGGGGGAGGGAGAAGAGAAAGGGGGGTGAAAGGGAGGGAGATGGAGAAAAGGAGGGAGGGGGACGAAGAGGATGAGGGAAGGTGAGATGAGGAGAAGAGGGGGAGAGGAGGACGAGAAGAATAGGAAGTGGAGAAGTAGGAGAAAAATGGAGAGGAGAAAGGGAGGAAAGGAGGAAAGGAAGAGCTGAGGAGGAGGAGAGTAGCAGAAATAGATGGTACTATAAAATAATAATAATGATGATAATAAAATAAAACAATAGAAATAAAAATAAGGAGGGAGGACAAAAAGTAAAAAGAACGAAAAAGGGAGAGGAAAAATTGGGAGGAGATCAAACGTGGCAGAAGTGGAGGATACTAAAACCACGATAAAAAAGGGAGGATTAAAAAGTTGGAAGAAAAAGACAGCTCTATAAACATGGTGAGAGAGAGAAAAAGAGTGAGGGAGGAAGGAGGAGAGAGAGAGAAAGAAAGAAAACGTGTCAGTAAAGAATGAAAGAAAAGAAAAATGACACAAAAATACCAGCGAAAGAAAGAGATAGAAGGGTCAGAGAAATATGAACGAAAGGAATTGAAGGAAATCGATAAAAAAAAGAAAAACGAACTAAAGAAGATACAAAGAAAGTGGCAAAAGAATAAGGCACTAAGAAAGGGGAATAAATAAATACCGGGAAGGAGACAGCGAAAAGAAGAACAGAAAAAAAAACAGTAACAATAAAAGGGAAAAAGTAAAGATGGCAAATGAAAAGAGAATTCTGGAACACGGACAAAAGTGTGGAAGGAAAAGATAAGAATAAAAGGAGAAGAAGGAACTGCAAAAGAAGAGGGAGTAATAAACGGAAGAGAGAGATAGAGACCCAGGGAGAAGGAAAGAGAGGGATAAAGACAGAGAGAGAAGGAAAGAGAGAGATGGGAGAATGATAGAGAGGGAAGCAAACAGACAGAGAACAGGGAAGAAGAAGAAAAGAAGCTTGAAGAGAGGAGGAAAGGAGAAAAAAGTCGATAAGTAAACAGACTGATTAATCAACTGATGAATAAATGAATAAACAAACAAATTGATAAACGCGAGAGAAGGAAAATGCAAGAAGGAAGCCGGAAAATAGCAGGAAAAGATTAGTCAAGAAAGATTGAAGAAGCGAAAGGGGAAGAAGTTAAGGATGAGGAGAGCGAATAAGAGGAGCGACAAGAAATGAATAAAGGGAAGGAAAGAGAAAAAAGAAGAAGGAATAACGGAAGGAGAAGAGAAAGAAGAGAAAGAGAAAAAAGAAGAACGAATAAAGGGAAGGAAAGAGAAAAAAGAAGAAGGAATAACGGAAGGAGAAGAGAAAGAAGAAGAATGAAAGAGAAAGAAGAATGAAAGAGAAAGAAGAGAAATTAATAAAGAAGAAGAATGAAAGAAAAAGAATAGGAATGAACAAGGAAAAAGAAAGAGAAAGAGAGGAATGAATAAAGAAGGAAAGAAAAAGAATAGGAATGAACAAGGAAAAAGAATGAAAGAGAAAGAAGTGAAATTAATAAAGAAGAATGGAAGAAAAAGAATAGAAATGAACGAGGAAAAAGAATGAAAGAAAAAGAAGAGGAATAAATAAGAAGAAGTGAAATGAAGGAGGATAAATGAATGGGAAGAGAGAGAAAGATGGAGACAAATGAGGGAGAGAGATAGAATAAAAGAAAAGAAGCACAAAAAACAAAACAAATTGAATTTACCGACACAAATGCTTTCACTAATCACAAACCATAAGTTTTAGAACCCACAGATGAACAAGAAATTAATTCTCTCTAATGGTGAACAAAGATAACTAACAAAGAGACCGCAGATCACATTACAAAAGAGAGAGAGAGATGGGAGAGAGAAAGAGACAGAGAGAGAGATGAGATGAGAGATATATGAGAGAGAGGGAGAGAGAGAGATGAGATGAGAGATATTTGAGAGAGAGAGAAACAAAGAGAGGAGAGAGAGAGAGAAAATATAAACCTTTTTTATATTTTTGTCGTATGAACAAGAACTGAATTCCCCGTAAAGGCGAAGAGAATAACCTGAGCTGGTAATGATAATTAACAAAGAGATCGCAGGTCACATTACAAAGGAGGAGAAGAAGAAGAAGAAGAAGAAGAAAAAAACAGTAATACTCCTGTTCATTATTCTTTTGCGCGGAAGTTCAGCGGGAGATTAGATCCAGCGTGAAAATTAATTCTTGCTTTAATCCCAGAGGCATAAAAGTGTTTTAACCTTTTCATTTTTATTTCCATCTTTCTTTTTCATCCTTTCGCAGCATTTTTTAAGCTCCTTGTCCGTATTTTTTTTCGCTATTACTGGCTCCTTTTTTAGTTTCCATTTTTATTTCTTCCATTTTTTTAGCTCCTTATCCGTATTTTTTTTTCGCTATTACCAGCTCCTTTTTGTGTCCATTTTTCTTTCTTCCATTTTCGCTCCTTATCTTATTACCAGCTCCTTTTCTTATTTATTTTCTTTCTTCCATTTTTCGCTCCTATCCCTTTCATTTATTACCAGCTCCTTTTCTTATTTCTATTTTCCTTTCTTCTTTTTTTCGCTCCTCCCAAGACATATCTCTCCATCTTCGACTCTCCGAACTAGCGTTAAATCACAACAACGTAGAAAAACAAAACAACTTCCCATTGCAAGGTATTCTTAATTGCAGTTCAGAGCCGCGAGAGGCGCCGCCCTTGCAGCTTTAGGCAACAAATGAGCCATCTCTGAAGCCCCAGATATGAGGAGCGCCGCCCACGACCACCGGAGGGAGCGCTGGTAAATCACACGGTAGCTCCTGACACCAAATGTCAACGGAGCATCTGGGATTTGAAGGTCATGCTCTATCTTCCTGTGGGTCGGTGGCTCTCGAGGTATACAGCGAAGTACGAGGTGTGTGTGTACTGCCTCTCCCAGCCACTCGGGGTTTATGGCGCGTGTCGAAGCGAAAGGGTGTCGTAAAAGGAGGCGGTACTGCGTGTTATAGCGAGGGTTCTTCAGGAGCCGAGCGAGCGAGTGGGGTGGGGGGTGGGGGGGGGGTTGTTTACCTGGTTACACGCACTTCGCCATCAAGTGATCTTTTCTCCGATCAAGTGGGGGGTTTTATGCCTATGGATTTTTTTTTTTTTTTTTTTTTTTTTTTTTTTTTTTTTTTTTTTTGTCTTTTTTATATATGTTCATAGGATACAATGAATTCATTTTCAAGATTCGATCAAAGTGCTGTTCATATACTATTCATATTCGTGTAGATACGTTGTATATATTTACAGAGTTTCAAGGAATATTTAGTTCATAATCAGGCCAAATCAGCATTGCTATCCGTATGTACACATGTGTCGCATAGATGAATAGTTCAGAGTTCAAATAATAATAATAATAAATTTGATAAAGTATAATATATATATATATATATATATATATATATATATATATATATATATATATATATATTATATATATATATATATATATATATATATATACATGATAACCACCTTTACAACTTTTCAGTCAGGTACATTGTACAATCTATAGGTATGTGCATAAGCATACACACTCTTTCCTCTAAATCTAAATCCTATCCAGCAATCATCAAATAGGGAATAATCAGTGTACATGTAAAAATATATGTACATGTACATTGTACATGTATCAACCGCATATCCACCTCCCCCTCCATCCCTGGCCACCCCCCTCACCCATCCCGGCCCATCCACCCCTACATATTGTACATGTACTTCCCCCCTCCTCCTCCCCCCCTCAGCCGCCCATCCACCCTATACATTGTACATGTACTTCCCTCCCCCCTCTCCTCCCCCCTCAGCCGCCCATCCACCCCTATACATTGCACATGTACTTCCCTCCTTTCCCTCCCTCCCCCCCCCCCCAAACCCAGGCTCTCCATCCCAATCAAGCCGGTGGCCGCAGCACGCCCTCCCCCCCCCCCCCTTCCTCCTCCTCCTCCTCCTCTTTCGCCCTGATTAAACGCACCGCATTTTCGCGAAACAGCAGTCGCTCCGCTCGCAAAAAAAAAAAAAAATAAATAAAAAAAAAAAAATAAATAAATAAATAAATAAAATCGATGATAAGCGTCCAATCTCTCGGGCTTCGTCTGAGGCTTCAAAAAAATAAATAAATAAATAAATAAATAAAATCGATGATAAGTGTCCAATCTCTCGGGCTTCGTCTGAGAATTCGCTTCATTGTCTGCCGCTGAATGTCAAGTGTCTTTGGCCGCTCAGCCGGGGTGTGGTTCTTGCTTTGCTAAGGGTGCGGGTACGTACATACGTGTGTATATGTGTGTGTGTATGTGTGTGTGTGTATGTGTGTGTGTGTGTGTGTGTGTGTGTGTGTGTGTGTGTGTGTGTGTGTCTGTGTCTGTGTGTGTGTGTATACGTATGTGTGTGTGTATGTGTGTGTGTGTGTGTGTCTATATGTCTGTGTGTGTGTGTGTGTCTTATTGTGTATGTGTGTGTGTCTGTGTCTATGTGTCCGTGTCTGTGCACGCGTATATACACATATACCCTTTAATATAAGCAGAGAGAGAGAGAAAAAGGTAGATACTCCCTCTTCCCTCCCTCCGAAAAGAAGAAGAAGCAAAAGGGAAAAAATGAAGAAAGAGATCAAAGAAGAAGGAGAAGAAGAGACACACTTCGCCGCTGCTTCCTTTCTTCGGGACAAAGAATGACGACTCCGAAGAAGAGACTCGGCGCTGAAACCTCTTCTTTTCGGATTATTATTTGTAATAATTATTTTTTTTTTTTGGAAAAGTTCGTGTATATGGACACCTGGACATGTCTCTCTCTCTCTCTCTTCTCTCTCTCTCTCTCTCTCTTCTCTCTCTCTCTCTCTCTCTCTCTCTCTCTCTCTCTCTCTCTCTCTCTCTCTCTCTCTATATATATATATATATATATATATATATATATATATATATATATATATATATATATATATATATATATATATGGGCAGTTGGAGATGTCTATTATGATGCGAACATATCGGTGCGAGGTAGAAATAAGAAAGGGATAAATGAGTCAATGATGATAATGATGATGGAAATGATGAATAAATTAATAAATATAGTGATAATGATAATAAATGAATAAAAAAGATAATGATAAATGAATTGATAAAGATAGTGATGACGATAATAAATTAATGAATAAAGGTATAACAATGAAAATAAATGCATGAATAAGGTTAACGATAACCAAATGATAAACGAATGCATAAAGATAATGATAATGAATGAATGAATAGATAAAAGGCGTAAAAATGATGTCGTTCAACCCCGTGCGTCTCAGCGCTGCCGCATGCGGGCACCTGTTGCTTTTCTCGGCCTCTCCTCCGTCCGCGCTTCTCGTCCTTCGCGGTCTCGCTGTCTTTCTTGAGTCTTCCTCGGTGTCTTTTTGAATCTTTCTTGAGTCTTCCTCAGTGTCCTCATCGGAGTCATCTTTTTCATCTTTTTCGGTGTCTTTCTTGAGTCTTCTTCGTGTCTTTTTCGGTGTCCTTCTTGAGTCTTCGTGTCTCGCTGTCTTTTCTTGGTGTTTTCGGTGTCTTTTTGTGTCTTTCTTGAGTCTTTCTCTCAGTGTCTTTTTCCTCTTCCTCGTTGTCTTGAGTCCTTCGGTGTCTTCGCCGGCTTGTATTTTTCGATGTCTTTCTTGAGTCTCGTGTCTTAAAAGTCTTCCTCGTGTCTTCCTCAGTGTCTTTCTTGATTCCCGTGTCGCTTGTCTTCCTTCCGGTGTCTTTCTTAGTCCTCTCCCGGTGCTCTCGCGCCAGGAGTTCCCCTCGTGTCTTCTCAGTTGTCCTCTCTTGGTGTCTTCCTTGACGTCTTCCTTGCAGACCCCCTCGTGTCCCCCTCGTGTCTTCCTAGTGTCCTCCTCTGGGTGTCCTGAACCCCCTCGTGTCCCTCGGCTGGTCTCGCGGTTCGCCATGGAGTCTTCCTTCAGTGTCTTCTTCAGTGTCCCTCCTCAAGTGTCTCTCCTCGCTGTCTTCCTTGCAGTCTTCCTTGAGACCCCCTTTCGTGTCCCCTCGTGTCTTCCTCAGTGTCCCCCTCGTTGTCTTCCTTGAGTCTTCCTCGCGTCGCCAGGAGTCTTCCTCAGTGTCCTCCTCGGTGTCTTCCTTGAGTCTTCCTTGAGACCCCCTCGTGTCCCCCTCGCTGTTCCTCGCCGTCGCCAGGGTCTTCTCAGTGTATTCTTCGAGTTGTTCCTCCTCCTCTGTTCTTCCCTTGAGGCCCCCCTTCCTCCTTCGCGCCCCGCCAGGAGTCCTCCCTCCGGAGGGCCGGGCAACGGCAGGGGCTGGGCGAGAGTCGGGTCGCGGGCGCCGGGCGAGGGAGCGGAGCAGCCACCGCCGCCGCTGTGACCCCCTCCCTTTAAGTCGACGTCGGCGCTGAGCACATAAGTTATTCATTTAAGGCCAGAGTGGTATTCAATATTTCATGGTACCATAACAACCGTCGTTATTTTGTATCTCCAATAATCCCCGTCGGTTGGATTTCACTTTAGCAAACATGAACGTGCGTGAGTGTTCTCCTGCTCTCACTCTCTCTGGGGGGAACGTCACTTTTTTTTTCTTTCTTTCTTTTTTTATTCATCAAAAGGGTTTCCATTTTGCTCTTACTTCATGAACAGACGAGGATAGAGGTTCTCGTAAGGGAGGGAGGGGGACCCAGGCTTCGGTTCTTGCCTCGATTTTGTGACGTCTTGAATAAATAACGAAGGCGCACAGAAAAAACGAAATAAACTTCTCTCCCTTCATTGCTCTCTCGCGCACACGTAACACACACAACACACCACACACACACACACACAACACACACACACACACACACACACACACACACACACACACACACACACACACACACACACACACACACACACACACAGACACACACACAAGAACATATACGCACAAACAGGCAAAAAAAAAGAGAAAAAAGAGAGAGAAAAAGAAAAAAAATCACATACAAACACATACGCTGTGCTAAAAAAAAAAAAAAAAAAAAAAAAAAAAAAACATTGACACATACAAACACATACGCAGAACTTACATTTGCATACAATTAACATGTAAATATATACATGCGTGCGTGTGTGAGTGTGTAAATGTGCATTTGAATATTATCTAAACTAGGATCTATTTTTGCAATATCTTTCTCTGCTCTGTCTCATAAAAAAATAGAACTGATAAGTAGATAGACTAGAGCGTGTAGCCAGATAGAGGAGACAGGATATATAGCTATAGTATATATATATTATTATATGTAATAATATACTTAGTATAATATTCTACAATAATACATACACGACACACACATCACACCACCTCGCTTATTTATATGTTTTTGCGTGGTAACATACATCATATATATATATATATATGATCAATTATATATAAATATATAATATAGTAATATATATATATATATATAGTATAATATTATATAACACACACTCCCTACACTCTACCACTAGCTCATCCTAACACAGTATATATACCAGGTGATACATACTACACCACAGACACACACACACACCATATATATATTATATATAAGTAGTATATATATATATGATATATAAATATATTATATATATATATATATATAATACTCCATACATCACACACACACACACAACGTCAGCACAGGTACACCAACACACAAACCGTCAGCACCGACTAGTTAGGATAGGCGTCCAGTGCATTGCGGTGATGGCTTTTCCTGGTGTGCATGTTGCGTGGCACAACCCCGTTTTTTGACTCGCACCAAGTGTCGTTTATGGCTGGTGTGGACGCGGGCTAGTCACAGACGACACCACACACGACACACACACACACACACACACAGATAGTATATAATATATATATATATTATATATATATTATACTATATATATATATAATATATCTATATTAGTATATTATAATATGTATATATACACATAACACTATAATGTTCGCGTTTGTTATGCTTGGCTCCTTTTTCTTTCCAAAGGGCTTCTGCAGTTATAAAGTAAAATTCTTTATAGACAACGGCTTGTTATTTGGGGACATTTATTGCGGCACAGTTGGCTTTCAAAGTTTTTATTGTACAAGCTGAATATTGATAACTTTCATAGCTAAGACTGTATCCAACTGTTGCTAGTAATGCTTGTTATATTTTCGATGGCTTTCATGGCCTGTTATAGTATATATTCTTTGCGGTATTGGTTTATTCCTGTTAATCTTCCCTTCCCTGCTTCTTTTCTTGTTCTTCTGATGGCCCTCGGTTTTTCGTTTTCCTCGTTTTCACTTGCCTTTCCGTCCCTTCCTCTTTTTTTTTTCTCTCCTCTCTGCCTCCCGCTTCATCCCTAAATGTTTCTTGTCCTTCCCTTCTATCCTTTCCTTTTTTGTTCATGTTTTTTCGTTTTTCCTCCCATCTTTATTTTCCGTTTTTCTTTCTTCCTACTTTCTATTTTTTCCCTCGTGTCCGCTCCTTCACCTTACTTTTCGGCTTTTTCCTTCGTTTGCTCCCCGCTATCCCTCTCCTCGGTTTTTCCTCCTTCCATCCTTTTCTTCGTCTTCTCTCAGCACCCTCCTATTCCCTCCCCTCTTTTTGCCTCCCTCTTTCCCTTACCTCCTCTTTTTCTTCTTCCTCCTTGATCCCTTCCGATCTTTCCTTCCCTCCCGTTCCTGTCCTCCTTCCATCGTCCCTATTTGGCAAGGTCTCTATTCCCTCTTTCTCTTTTTCTTCGGGCCGGCATGCCCCTTTCTCTCCCTCCCTTCTCCTCTTTCCTCCCTCCCTCTTTCTATTCCCCTTTTTCTCTCCCGTCCTTTTCCTCTCCGGTCTTTTTTTCCCTCTCTCCTTCCTCCCTCCTTCCTCTCCTCTCTTCTTCTCTTCCTTTTTCTCCCTCCTTTTCTCTCGTTTTTTCCTCTCCTCCTTCCTTCCTCCTTCTACGGGCGTCCCTATTTCCCAAGGTCCCTTTTTCCGCTCCTCTCTATTCCTGTTCCGCCCTTGTCCTCTCCCTCCACTTCCTTCCTCCTCTTTTCTCTTCCCTCTTTCCCCCTTCCTCCTTTTTCTCGTTCATCCTTTCTTCCCTCCCTTCCTTCCTCCTTCCATGCGTCCCTATTTGCAAGGTCCCTTTTCCCTCCCTCTTTTCACTCTTTCTTTTTTCTCCTTCCCTTCCTCCCTCCTTTTCCTCCCTCCTTCTCTTCCTCCCACTTCTGTGTCCTTCCTTCCCTTCCTCCCTCCTTTCTCTTCCTCTTTTCTCTCCCTCCCTTCCTTCATACAGCTTCCTATTGCAAGGTCCTCCTCCTTCCTCCCTTCTTTTCTCACGCGCTTTCTCTCCCTCCCTTCCTCCCTCTTTCCCTCTCCTCCTTTCTCTTCGCTTCTATTCCGGTCCTTCTTTTCTCTCCGCCCATTCTCTATCCCTCCTCGCTTCCCTTCCTCCTTTTCTCTTCCCTTCCTTTTTCCCTCCTTCTTTTCTCTCGCTCCCTTCCTCCCTCCTTTCTTCTTCCTCCTTCTCTCCTCCCTTCTTCCTCCTTCTAAGCGTCCCTATTTCAAGGTCTCTCTCCTTCCTCCTTCTCTTCTCTCCTCCATTCTCTCCCTTCCTCCTTCCTTCCTCCTTTTTTCTCTTCCTCTTTTCCCTCCTTCTTTCCTCTCCGCCCATTCTCTCCCTCCCTCCTTCCCTTCCTCCCTCTTTTCTCTTCCCTCTTTTCCCTCCTTCTTTTCCTCTCCCTCCTTCCTCCCTCTTTCTCTTCCTCTCTTCCTCCCCCCCTTCCTTCCTCCTTCTACGCGCGTCCCTAAATTTGCAAGGTCCTCCTCCTCCTCCTTCTTTTTCTCTCCGTCCTTTCTCTCCCTCCCTTCCTTCCTCCTTCCACGCGCCCCTATTTGCAAGGTCCTCCTCCTTCCTCCTAGAAGAGCTGCTTATAGAATCTGGGTCGTCAGTGGATATCCTGCAAAAAGCTTTTGCCTGAAGGACCTTGAGCCTTTCTTCCTGTTTCCCTTCCTTGTCTTTTTTTCTATCCCCCCCTACGTCTCCCCTTCCTTTCTTCCTTCCTTAAGTGCCTCCTTCTATTCTTCCTTCCGACTCTCCTTGCTTTATTCTGTATTTCTTTTCTCTAAATTCGTTTTATCTTTTCTTCCTTCGGTTGCTCTCTCCTTCCTTACCGTTGTGTACAAAAGTTATGTATAGAATTGCACACATACACAGACGCACACAAACGTGCGCGCATGACGCACACAACACACACACACACAACACACACACACCCACACACACACACACCACACAACACACACACCACACACACACCACACACAATACACACGCACACATATCACAATATATATATAATATATTATGAATTATAATATATAATTATATATATATATATATATATATATATATATATATATATATATATATATATATATTATATATATATATATATATACATATATATATATTATATATTATATAATAACACACATAACGAGGTTCTCCCCTTCCCTCCCCCCTCTCTTCTCTCTCTCCTTCAATCGCATCCCCTCCTCTCCTCCTCCTCCTTGGCTACCCATCCTCCCCTCATCCCCCTTCCCCTCATCCCGATAAGCATCATGTCGTCCTCTCTGCCTCTTCTTCTTCACGACTATAAAGGTTACGAGCGATAGAGCCTCTGGTGCCTTCCCTTCCCTCCCTCCCTTCTGCTTTCCTCTCCCCCCTCTCCCCTCTTCTCTTCCCTCCATTCCTTCAATCCTCCCCCCTCCCTCTTATCCTCCTCTCTCTCCCTCTCTCTTCCCTCCATCCTTCAATATCCCTCCCCCCTCCCTCTTATCCTCCTTTCCCCTCTCCCCTTCCTCATCCTTCAACCTTCCCTCCCCTCCCTCTTATCCTCTCCTCTCCCTTCCCTCCATTCCTTCAATCTTCCTCCCCTTCTCCTTTCCCTCTCC